CTCGCCCTGAGCTCCTGCCAGGTTATAAAGGTGCTCCACCCTCCCTCAGCTCCTCCCAGGTTATGAAGGTGCTCCACCCGCCCTCAGCACCTCCCAGATTATGAAGGTGCTCCACCCACCCTCAGCACCTCCCAGGTTATGAAGGTGCTCCACCCACCCTCAGCACCTCCCAGGCTATGAAGGTGCTTCACCCGCCCTCAGCACCTTCCAGGTTATGAAGCTGTTCTGCTGGTGTCTGCCCACTGGTAAAAGTGCAGTTCAGGCAGGGGGAGATCCTCCTCTCACACAAGTTGTGCTCTCTTAAGACAGCTCTAACAATAATTAATTTGGCAATCCACTGATTCACATATTATAGTTGTGTCTAACTTTGATTCTTTCATAAGCCCTAAAAGACAAGCACGTGATTAAGTGAAGATTTAAGCCTGCATTTACAATGTAAAAGAGGTGGTTTCCCTGTTACCTGACTTTGTACATGCTTGAGAAAGGGGAATAATGAAGAGTATAGAATTATTATATTTATGCTTTTTAACCTAACTACTAAGTGAGGGGGCATGATCTAGTCTCTTTTTTTTTATACTTGGCATTGTAATGGGTAACCCAAAAGCACCAAAAAAATTTCACTTTTCCTAAAGAAGAATTAAAATTTTTTTGGTGGGGGAGTAGGGTCTCACTATGCAGCCCTGGCTGTCCTGTGACTCAACATGCAGACCAGAATCTGCAGACCAGAGATCCACCTGCCTCTGCCTGTGGTGTGCTGGGATTAAGAATGCCAACCACTAGGCAATCACGAGCTACCAGGCAATCAAAAAGAACAAATTAAACAATGCACATTCCAATGGCCATTCTTGGGGAAAATCAATTTATGTTTTAAATATTTTGGAGTTTAACTTAATTTTTCTTTAGGCATAATGTATTAGAGATTTGGAATCTGAGGTATTCAGTTTTTCATTTATAAAGGAATTCAAATCTACTAATCAATGTTTTACAAATGTTCATGTCAAATGAATACCATCATGAATGAGCGTGAACATGCATTTTAATAGGCATGCACAGTAGACAGAGTACGTTTCTGTATAGTGTTCAAAAGGGTTTATAGTCAATTTTATTTTAAGTTGTTTTAGCATCTGATGAAAATTGCTTGCCATTTCTTATGGGAAAAGTGCATACATATGTTCACACAAGTTTTCCCAGCTCAGGCAGGTAGCTCTGCATCTCCAGTCAAACGTCATCACCACCTCTTTTACGTCCTGAGACCTTTGTATAGCCTCTATGTTTTAAATGACAGGAATCATAGCAAAAGAACCTTTTGGGCACATATAAAGTTTGAATTCAGTTTCCTAAGTAAAGCTGCACCCAAATTCAGCCTCACCCATACCCTATATTTTTTACGTTCTTGAGTTAGAGTGGAAGGCAGCCACGCCCATGCCCTAGCACACTGTACAGTTGTCGTGGAATGTGCCCTTACACAGCCTTTGCACACTGTGGAAATAGCCATGGCCATATGTCTAATTACAGTGGAGTGAAGCCACGCTCATGCACAGCACACTGGCTAGCTGCAGTGGAGTGCAGTCGTGCTCATGCACAGCACTGGCTAGCTGCAGTGGAGTGCAGGCGTGCTCATGCACAGGACTGGCTAGCTGCAGTGGAGTGCAGTTGTGCTCATGCACAGCACTGGCTAGCTGCAGTGGAGTGCAGTTGTCCTTCATACACTAGCACTCTTGCCTTAGCCACCTGGCACCTGTAACACTGGGGCCAGTAGTTTTAAGGCCCCAAATGTTTACTAGTGGTTCTTAACATAAAATATTTGCTGGCCTGTGATTAACATTTTCTAAGTATATTTTGTGATTTTAATTGTAGCCTGCTGGACTGTTGCTAAAATAAGCTTAAGTCTGACTAGGATTTAAAAGGGTTTTCTACTTTTAAAATAATATTACTCATCATTGACATGGTGATTGTAATGGTATTTAACAGAATGGTAAAATGTGTATATTGCTTTAAGTAAAAATTAAATAGAATAAATTAAATATTAACTATATGGATATTTTTTAAAAGTTCAAAAAGGAAGAAAACATGACCAGATGTTAAGCCTCTTGACTGAGGTCACAGAATTTTTAAAAGTTTTAATCTGTAGTACTTTGGAAAACATATATTGTAAACTATCGTTTTGACAATGAGAGAAATATTGGATAAAATTAGAGTACAGCTGTTCAATTTAGAAAAGCTATTGGTCAAAGGTTAGAAGTTCCTGACATAGTATAATTATAAAACTGTTCCTGGAACAAACAAGTAGATATGATTGTGGACTAGAACTCACTCATAAAACAGAGTCTTAATTTAGGCTGCATGGCAGCTTAACATCAGCTGCCTTCACAGCTCCATCCACACAGCTGCTAAGGAAATGAGGCTTCAGGTGAAGAGAGCTGCACCCAGCAGAAGCATTGGTAGTTCTGCCCTGGCAGGCATTTCATCCCAGCTTATGCTAGGAACCCCTTTCCTCATAGGAGCCTGAACTTAACTACATGCCATAGTCACAGGATGGTTAATATTTTTAAGAGTGCTAACACTTTTCACAAAAAGTATCAAATGATTATTTTTCTTTTTTCAGAACCAGAACCAGGAATTTATGCCAGCCTATCAGCTCTTCATTCAACTATCATTAATTCATTTACTCATCTAGATTGTCAGTTTAACACTACAGAAAAAAAATGGTTAAGGTGTTCAATTTTCTTCCTTCCTTCCTTCCTTCCTTCCTTCCTTCCTTCCTTCCTTCCTTCCTTGCTTCCTTTCTTCCTCCCTCCCTCTCTTCCTCCCTCCTTCCCTCCCCCCCCCCCCCCCCTTCTTCTTTCTTTCTTTCTTTCTTTCTTTCTTTCTTTCTTTCTTTCTTTCTTTCTCTCTCTCTCTCTCTCTCTCTCTCTCTCTTTCTTTCTTTCTTTCTTTCTTTCTTATTTCTCTCTTTCTTTCCTTCTAATGTCTAGTGCTAATGACAACCAGGTATGCTGCTCCACTGATATTTGAGAACCAGGCCATCCAGTCCAAGAGTTCTCCTTGACTTTCAGTGAGGTCTATAGACAGTTAGCATCACTAGAACCTGGAAGACAAAACTGTCATGGAGGTTGGGCTCATGAGGCCTCAATAGGAGGTGGGCACAGAAGGGGAGCTATTCCTTCTGCTAGTGGCGAGTTAGTTAAAGGGTTAATGTCAACCAAGGGAAAGAAGATGGGGATGAGAGGAAGAGGAAATGATTCCATCCTGAGTCCAGCCTGAATCATGGTGTCTCTGCTGGTAGCAGAGCGTCCTGATGAAGTACAATTTGAAGCAGAAGGAAGAAACTACTTGGCAGGTGTGCAGTTTGGGAATAGTCAGACAACCAAAGTGAGATGTGTAGCCAGGGCCAACGAGGCGGTGGCGGGAAATAACACGCTACTAGTCCATTGTGGAAGGGATCCTGGTGTTGTCCCTGTCAGAATCTCCAGCTGCGCTGCCCTGGGTACCCCCGCCACTAGATTCAGCGCACTGTTGTTATTCGCAGAAGGGTCTGTTGCTCATGTGAGCACACTGTGGTCTTAGAGGCAGGTCCACTTTCAGGTTGATCATTTTGAGAGGAGTTGAGGTATTTTTGCAGAAACGCCCTTATCCAGCCCCCATCCTTCTCTTCAAAGGCCCTTCTGTGACATCAGTGCTTACCCAAGCAGCAGACATTATTTGCACGAGTAATGAAATGCAAACTTAACTGACAGCTAATTCAAACTTCTATAAGGCGAAGTTTTTCATTTTCAGTTCTAAATACACATGGTTCCTATATTGGAAATCATAAAAAAAGCTTCCATAAAATGTTCTATCAAAACACTTATTTTCAGTATAATAAGTAGATAAGTATAATAAGTGGAAAATATTTTAGCCTTGCCTAATTCAAATTAGTAAGTCTTTACTTAAAATTCTGCCGCAGGCAAGCGCGCTATGAAGGAGAGAACGCTTGCCAGGGTGACAGTGCTTTAGACAGAAAGCTGGCGCTCAGCTAAGGTCAACATGGGAATCTGCAGAATGGAAAACAGACATCTGACTTTACCTTCGTCATTATGCAACTTGGCTTGTGACTTCAGGCATATATCTTGACACATATGCTTACAAATATTTGGGGGGATTTACATGCATTTGTGCTAAATTTGCTTGGATTTAGCATGACAGTGTTGTAAATCTGAAATACTGGCCTAAGTGGCTCACTCACATATTTTCTTTCACTGTGGGTTCAAGAGCTGCACATTTTCTTAGTGTTTGGAGATCCCACAGTTCTAGGCTCCAAACAGCTAGCATGCCGAATCTGGCTTCTAATGGGTGACAGGTACTGAAGGGAGTATGACTAAAAGAGGGAGACAGCTGAGTCCTTTTTGCCTAAATAATAAATTCTCAACTTCAAAAAGCAGCACTTTGGATGTGTATATATATATCATTTATTTGTCGCGGGTAGGGTGGGGAGACAGAGGCATTTTACTTCACACTTCTAGAAACAGGTTAGGAATTGCTCTATGCCTGCTTCTAGAGAGTAGTAAGATTTTTCTAGAAAATAGGCAGCTTCCAATTAACCCCTTCACTTAAAGGCTAAGACTTAAGATGTGTTCTGTACAAATAATTCAGTAATGAAATATCCCCAACGAGAACGCGATTCACTCAAATACATTGGGCAGAATAAAATCTGGACTATCTCCTCTTCCCCTCTGACAGAAATGAAAATGTTCCTGTTTTAGACAATTACAAACCCAGGAGGCAGTTCCAGTTATCAGCCTACATAAGTGTCATCAAAACGAGAAAGCTATAAAACTCAGGAAATAAGAAATCAGGTACCAATCGTCTCTAATTGTCAAGGCTTCAGTGGGTACCCACCCTCCAAGCCAAAGTTGTTCTTAAGCCTTTCCTGGAAAGTTTGAGTACCTCACCCTTAAAGAATTTAAGAAGTCAAAATGCCACATAAACAAACATAAAGGATGCATTAGGAAAAAACTCACTTTTTCCTCGGCTTTTTCTTTGGATCTACACAGTCTGGAAGAATAGGTGACAGATTCGCCTCTTAATCACAGGCATGTCAACTCCAAAAGGAACAGAAAGGGTCATCAGCGTTATCGGATCCTCCCTTCAGCTTTTCAACTTTGGAGGAAAAAATAAGCTCTTTCCTCCCAATCTGTGGCACGTACACAAGGCTCCTCCTCAGACAGAACCACTCCTTGTCAATGTCTACTTAAAACCACAAGGAAAAAAACTTCCCTTCAGAATGTCCTTAAAGGGAAATTTGACTAGTGTTAGAGCTGCAATATTCTGGCTAAGCCCCCGAGTTTAAAATATAGAACATTTATGCAGAGACACACACACTTGAGAATTTCCACTGACTAAGTTCAATTAAGGTCATAATTAGAAGAACTATGTTCTCTGAAAGTAAGTATTTTGTATTTCCTTAACCAATCCATTTTTGGTTTTGTTTTCTGGTGGCTACCAGAATCCTCCTTATGGGCAGGAAACAGCTGAAGGGCGGGCAGATGTTGACTGTTGTCTGGGAGAGATGAGAGGAACTCTCACCTTTGGGGTTCTTTGTAGAGCAGATGAGATGTTGTCTGCTGCCTTTTTCACTTCCTTCTTGGGAAATTCGAGAACTTGAAGTGCTGGACTTGAATGAAATAACTCAGGATTGTTCCCTGCTTTCTGCACTTGCAAAGTGGATGGATTTCTGCCTGTGTCCCCAGGTGCCGGCGCCGATTGTTATGTCATTAGCCACATTGTGTGACTTCACTTAAGTTCAACCTCATCTGGCCTTTTGAAATCTTCAAACTATGAAAAGTAGCCAGAGAAGCCAACTGTATCAGAAGAAAGCTTTTGTTATGAACTAATCTATCACAAGAATTCTCAGTGGGTCACAGTGACCGATATGAGAAATGGAATTTGTTCTTAGAATTTCCATTTGAGACCATTCCTTCAGTTTGGAAGGTGAGATAAGAGAAGAAATACTCAAGCCATAACTTGATTTACTTTCTGACCAAACTTACAGTTCTCTTGTTTTCAGCCATAAACGCATATGTTAATATTCCTGAAGTCAACTCAGCTAAACACAACTAAAGAACCAGGAGTAGGAAACACAGAGCCCATGATAAACTGTTTTATTTCCTTGGTTTGATGAATGGAGTGTTATGATGAAAGATGAACAAATCTCATCAGCAAAAGTACACCTACCTTTTCCTTAGTGGTAGAGTGGAGTACTTGCTAATGAGGCCGTTTCACCTTCAAGAAAGGAAGCAGTCTTGATGATGTCACAGCACCTATGTCCCCATCAAGTCATGAGGCCACTGTTCTCTAGGTTACACGCATACTTTTCAGGAGGATGGCTTACACTCACGGATTCGACTTCACTGATTCCCCCCCCCCCCCCGCCCCTTAACTTACTGCAATTTGTCTTGCCCTTGAACTACTCCACCAGAAAGGGCAGAAAAGTCTTAGGATCATAAAGGATGCTGACTAGAATCTCCAGAGCACTGCACACTTTATAGGAAGTTCCTCTGGCCAGACCTATTATTGAAACCGGATTCCTTTTCTCAATTAGACTCTTCTGGTTTCCTCCTCCCCTCTCTCCCCAGTGTTTCTCTGAGCACTCCACGCTGCTCCTTAAGAGCCACTTTCCACGCTACAACCAGCAAATCTTTGGTGCCATCTGACGTGGCTCTCCTAGGTTGCCCAAACATATCCTATGATTTACTGGGATCTTTGTGACTTGTAGCCATCTCAGCTTTGAATGAAGCCTTTTATCTCCTTCCTATATTCTCTCAGGGCATGGCAATGACATCCTCATGTCATCTTAAATCCTAGGTTCCCTCACTTATTCTCCACTAGCCTCTATTTTTACAGCGTCTGTTGGATTCACTTTGTTAAATGACATCTCTTAGGCATATCATTATCTCTGCATTCCAGACTTAATATAACTACATAAATTGCTTTATCAACCACAAACAATTTCCTCTGCCTCAGTGTGGTACCCTCTTATCCTTTCTTTATTATTATAGAGTGATACTTAGTTTAAAATGTCTTACTGAATTTTAAAAATGCATGTTGCCTCAGTTCTGAATATAGAATTTAAAGTGACTTTCCAGCATAACCTAAATATTTTCTGTATAATTTTGTGTGTGTATATGTTAACTACATAAGGTAATATTTAGGTATTTGTATAAATGTTTCCATTATAACAAAATGTTCACTTTTTATATTACATATATGATGTGGGAGTGATTTCTTATTAATAAAGAAACTGCCTAAGCCCCTTGATAGGCCAACCCTTAGGTGGGTGGAGTAAACAGAACAGAATGCTGGGAAAAAGAAGCTGAGTCAAGGAGTCGCCATGATTCTCCCACTCCAGACAGATGCAGGTTAAGATCCTCCCTGGTAAGCCAGCTCGTGGGCTACACAGAATATTAGAAATGGGTTAGAACAATATGTAAGAGCTAGCCAATAGGAGGCTACAGATAATGGGCCAGGCAGTGTTTAAAAAAATAGTTTCTGTATAATTATTTCAGGGCATAAGCTAGCCATGCGGGCGGCCGGGTGCCGGGGACGCAGCGCTGCCGCTCCAATTGCAACACATATAGCTTCAGAGTTACACAATATTCTTAATCAGAAAAGACCAACTAAATAGTGCATAGCTATAGCCAAGTATTCCCATTTCTAGGTTCACTGATAGCAAAAGATAAACCAAAAGGAAAAGCATAAGTATTAGTCTCTTTTATACTGGTGTAATAAAATATTATGGCCAAGGCAACTTGATAGAGAGAAGACTTGCAGTTCCAGAGGGACGGAAGTGCATCACTATCACGGCATGCAAGCCTAACAGCAGACGGGTATGGTGACTGAAGCAGTGAGTTGAGTCCTCACAATGCCGGAACAGACAGCAAACTTGAAAACTGCATGCAGTTCTTGAAACCCCAAAGCCTGCCCTAATTGGTATATTTCTTCCATTAAGTCCACACATCCCAAACCTATACAAAAGGTACTACTAATGGGAACCAGGTATTAAAACACCGGAGCCTATGTGGCACAATCTCATAAAACCAGCAGCCAGGTGGTGGTACACTCCTTCATCCCAGGACTGGAGGCAGAGGCAGGTGCATCTCTTGAATTTGAGGTCTACAAAAGTGAGATCCAGGACAGCCAGATCCAAAGTTTCCAATGGAGCCCCACACAGAGGGTTAGCTACTATGTACACTTGCTCTACAACACTGTGGCTTTTCTCAAAGTTTCCAATGGAGCCCCACACAGAGGGTTAGCCACTATGTACACTTGCTCTACAACACTGTGGCTTTTCTCAAAGAAACCAATGGAGCCCCACACAGAGGGTTAGCCACTATGTACTCTTGCTCTACAACACTGTGGCTTTTCTCAAAGCACTGAGGTTCTGACGGCCCCTGCTACTGCTCACTTTATCTTCTGGGTGGTCTCAAATGGGCTTCTGTTGACTATACTCGTCTGTAGATGGAACACAGTGAACATTAAAACCGGGCATGTTTTCCACATCTCTATTAGAATAGCAAGAGTTAACAGATAATGAGAACATGGCTATAAAATTGCTGAAATCTGGCTGAGAAATTATTTACTAAGATGACTGACAAATTTTCAAACAACAGGATGTAATAAATTATTTTTGTGTAATAAAAATATCATGTTAACAAAGAATAATTCAAAATATAAGTATCATATGAATTGCAATTGCTAAGTAGTTTTCAGAATAGCATATACAATTTAAAAGAATAGACAACTTTATTTTAAATAATATTCTTAACCTAATTCATTAAGACTATATCAGAAATTAAGTCTTTACAGTCAGTATATAATTTTATTTACAAAACAATAAACTTTATTTACTAAGGAAAAATAAAATTTGGGACAAATAAAGTAAATGCAAGAAAGATTAACAAAGCTTTACATTTTTCTACTATATTTCTGTAAATTAAACTAAAATGAGTTTATCTGATCATCTCTTGTATTTATTTTTATAGACAGAGTATGGTGCAAACACGGATTGCTTTAGTGTTTTCCAAAACAATGTTATTAAACAAAATTTGAAATTCAGATTATTCACAAATTTGGAAGCTGAATAAAAAAATAAAGTGATTTTGGAGTCTCGGAGAATTTACTACTTTTCTTCTTTTGCTTATATGAAAATATGCAATAGAAAATTACCCATGTGAAATCATTTATCTTATTTTCTTCTATGTGTAAGGGTGTTTTGCCTGCATGTAGGATTAGGCACCGCGTGTGCATGGTGCTCAGAGGCCAGAGGCATTGGATTTCCTGGGTCTGGAGTTACAAAGCAGCCGTGTGGTGCTGGGACTCAAATCCGGGTCTTCTGGAAGAACAGCTGGTACTGTTCCCCGAGCTGCCGCTCCAGTGCCTTAATGTTTTCTACAAAGTTTTATCATAAACTTTAACAAAACTCCCAGTGAGTAATTAATTGCTTCATGCAGTATTAACACTCTGTTATTTCAGAAAAGAGGTAGTCTTTTGTATTTAAACATTTGAAAATATTAAAATTACAAGATCACCTGAGACATTATATAAAACAGCATTCTTTAAACATTTTATTACATTAAAAATAACTAAACTTTTTAAGAAGTAATAGAACACTGCTTAGAACTTACTTGCTTTAAATTATTGTTCCAAGGAACTATTTTAGTAAGCCTTAACTAATAATATCAACAACCAAAAGTGCAATGTTTTATAATTTCTATTCTTGGAATAAAAGTTCTGTGATTAAATTAAGTTTAATCACATTTACAGATTCTGTGTTCATTAGAAAGAACACCCTAGCAACCTGTTATACAGGTTCCAACAAAGAACTCTGAGTAAAGCAGCCACTGAAATCAAACAAGCAAAACTTAGAAATCTAAACTCAAAGCTAAACTCAAATCTAAGCTTAAAGAACACCTCTGTCCCTTTAGCCACCCCACTGTACAATGTGCCTTGTGTTCTCACAAGGAACCTCAGGTTTGCCCTACGGCTCCTTCCCTGGGTTTGCTTTATGAGAGCACAGCACTGCAAGCTTGTCCAGTGTCCCTGCTTGTCAAACCGCCTCTCAGACTCTGGACAGCTTTATGCAGGAGGCCTTCTCTCAAAAGCAAGAGCCTGAGCTTAGTAATATAAAATATATTTGAAATTTTCTAGCTTTAAAGCATTCTCTATAAATTTAAAAGTAGAACTCCCTATTTATTCTTATTTCATATATAACATTTTTCATGAAAAAAATACAATATTTTAAATATCTGCCAAAATAGAAGAGTGGTACTTGGAAATTAAATAGAAAACATTTTCCCCCTAGAGATGAAAAGTATTCTATTTTATTTTTCATTTTAACATCTAGAAGAAATTAAAGTATATAATTGCTCTAGATTCAAAACTCTTTGAAAACCTTTTTATTACATTACAAATTATACATAGGATTATGTAAAAAGAAAATGTTTCATGGAGAACTCAACTTGTAAAAATTTCCATAAGATTAGCATCTAATGTA